CCTCTAGTACGTCATCGTTGTGCGCCTCCCGCTCCTCCAGCGGGCCGTTGCCCGGGTGCTGCTGCCTGCGCCGCCGGTTCTGGGGCTCCCTAGCGCGGCCGTGTGCGTGATCCGCCAGGCAGCCTGCCCCCTTTCCCGTCCCCCTCGCTGAGGGGCTGCTGGGGAAGGGCCAGGTGTCTGTCCGGCCCGCCGCCGGGCGGGGGTGGGCCCGCCGGCCCCTGACTCGACTGCCTCACAGCTCCTGTGAGCTAAAGCGGTTTTCCCGAGAGCAGCCTTCGATGCTTCGATGGCTCTGTTAAAGGTGTTCGTCTTCAGTCTGACTCCCAAAAGCACTGCATGCTTACGAGGCCTCCATTTGAAGATGGTGGGAATTTCACCTGCTCAGTATTTACGGAAAACGGGTTTTCAGCCATTACAGCATGAGAAGCAAAACGTAAAAGGCAGCAAAGACGAGCTCCTTCTTGAAAATCTCAGTACTGACTTTAAAATGTCCTTCTTTCACACTGTGCGTATCAAAGTTATCGAAAAGTCGGGAAGAATAACCATGTTAATGGGTTAAGAATCGCTCCTGTGCAGTTTAGCATCCATACTTGTGCCCTAAGTTCTGTTGATAAAACGAGACAGCTCATTGTATGTAAAATTAAACATGCATCCGAGTATAGGAATGCCAACGTCTTCGGTTGCCAAGACTTTATTCTCAGAAGACCATTCTTATTCAAGAATGGAATGAGGGGGCATAGTGCTTTTGCATCTCTGTGAGTGTCTGTGTTTATCACAGTCCTGGATAATTAAACTAATGGCCAAGTCCAGCAGGGTGTTGTTTCTAGCTCTTTTGTATTGTATGGGTTGCGCTAATGATCAAGTATATTGCATGTCAAAGGAAGGATATCTCATGTTGAGGAGAATAGTCTGTAGAATTGGTCTTTATGTTTCAGGCATTGAAAACCTCCCTTGTGAACTGCAAAGAAACTTCCAGCTGATGCGCGAGTTGGATCAGAGAACAGAAGGTGTGTTCAGGTATTTCAGTAAGCATGAAGTCTGACTAAAGAGCCTTCACCTGAAGGAGAGAGCCCTGTGGGGACTTGCCTGATCCCCTTTCCTTCTCTTGACCATACCAGTATGCTGAATTTTTTTTATTTCTGTGGTGGCTATGCTTGTAATACTAGGATTTTTTGGTAGTTGTTTTGTTATTTTATTGTAGTGCTGGACACTCTTTATTGTAGTGGCTGTGTATAAGTGTGATCACCATACCTGAGTGATTACCTCTCCGATGTCCTCAGTGCTGAAGACTTGCATATATTTCCACATGTACTGAGTTGTGGATTGTGGTGTGTCTTGCAAGACCTTTTTTTTTTTTTTTGAGGTCTATATTGGTGTAGGAAGGTGTAATGATTTTCAGTTTGAAAATTTGAATGGTTAAAACAGAAAGGTAAATGACTATATAGCAAATATGTCCCACATAGGAGAAGAGAGGTTGAAGTTTGAACCCATCAGTTCTGTTTCTGGTCTTAGGACACTGGTAGTTGTGAGCACCTCCTACTAATGAACTATAAAAATAGATCAGAATCACACTGCAGATGTTGAAGAGTGAATACCTTTATTTTTTTAAAAAAGGTAAATATGTTAAAGGTTCAGGAGAAGCCTAGATACTGTTGGGATGAAGCTTTTAAATACTGTAGAGAGGTAGAAGGAAAAGTACTTACTTTGGAAGACAGCTTTCTTAAGTGTGTATGTTGTGTCTGCCTTTCAGATAAGAAAGCAGAAATTGACAGTCTTGCAGCAGAATACATCGAATCAGTGAAGAACATGTTGCCCGAAGAGCGAGTAGAACACCTGAAAAAAATTCAGAGTGCTTACAGCAAATGTAAAGAGTACAGCGATGATAAAGTGCAACTGGCCATGCAGACCTATGAGATGGTGAGAACTTAAAGTTTGTGTGCCAGGGTTGCATGACCAGTTAGATTTTTGTAAAAATGACAACATACTTTGGAACAGAGCTGCTAACAGACTTAGAAGACAGCCGTTTTCTGCAGCATGTTTTACTTTTCCTGTACATATTTATATTTGGGTTAAATATCTTACTGAAACAAAGTGTTAGTTCTCAAGCTTATTTTTATTATGCTGCCTTCCCCAAAAAGCCTCCAGTTTTCTTTGTGTATTACCAGGTTTTGTGTCAAGTAGGCTTCCGTTATGGTGAAGGGGTAAATGAGCACTTCTAAAGTGCTTGGTCACTTTTAGAATGCTTACTCATCTGCTATATAACAATGCCAGCAATTGTACCCAACCTCCTCTTCCCCAGCAGCTCTCCTTTCACCTAAGAGTTTGTGTAGGACTGATCTTGTTATGAGCAAAACTTCTGAAGTCAACTTCAAAACTACGTTGAGGATATGTGGCAAATCATTTCAATTACTTTGGTTTTCAGGGGACTAGAGGATGGAGAACTGTCAGTTCCGCCATTCTAGTTCTATACTGGATACCAGACTTTCCTCTGTGGACCTAGTGGGAAATACTTTTCTAAAGATACAACTTTCCACATCTGCTCCTGTGTCCATTTTGATGGCATTTAAGTAGTTCTTATCTCAATGTATTTTATCCCATGGACACAACTCAAGGAGAGAGTAGACTCCTTTTGACTGACCCTTAGTGTGTTTTATCCAACTACCAAAGATTGTAGGGGTTGTGAATAAAAGCAATAGCTACGTTGGCAGTTGCGATACTTTTTACTGCCATCAGAATATTGCAGAAAAACTATGTTACAGGATTGAAAAGCTTCCTAGGTGACCACTAATATGAGGTATTGCAGTATCATTTCTTTTTTTGTTCCTTTAACAAAAAAAAAAACCTTTGGTTACATCTGTATTCTGTAAGCCACATGAGTGCAACTGGAATATTGCAAGGTATTTACTTAACATGTGTTTTACAAACGTGCCATGATATTGGAGGTAGTCAGCAGAAGCCTGTATTTATTATTAAATTTCATGAAACAGCATGTCAGTCAAATAATAGAGACAATATTGACTCATCTGCTTGATATATTTCATGGATATTAGTTGATAATATGTTTTGAAAGTTGCTCAGGGAAAAAGCAAAATTTTTTTTAGTGTCTTTTGTCGTCTTGTTTTGCTTTGCAAACTAATAGTCCGAGTTGCTTTAACTCTCCTTTCTGCTACCTCCTCCCTTTTCCTACATTTCTCTTTGCCTGTATTGGGATTGGGTCCTCTGCTGCCTTTCCCCCACCTGCCCCAGCTTTTTTGTTTTGTTTTGTTTTGCCTCTCTCCAACCTAATTCCCTTTGTATATACCATTTCCCCTTTTCCCGTGTGGTACCCTTTTCATGCATTGCCCTGAAGTATTAAATTCCTGTTCATGCAGATAAGAGTTACTAGACCTTCCTGTTTTGCTTTGTTTTTTTTTAATTCAGTTTGTGGTTTTCTTTTCTGTGCAGGTAGATAAGCATATTCGCCGGCTGGATGCAGATTTGGCACGGTTTGAAGCAGATCTGAAAGATAAACTGGAAGTCAGTGATTTTGAAAACCCTGGAGCACGAGGCTTGAAAAGTGTGTAAATTTTATTTTATTTTATTTTTTGTCAGCTTTTTCCAGCACTGAGCACATCTAACCAGAAAGACTAAGGTATAAAGTAGGCTATCGTTTCTGGAGACTATGATGTGTACTCCTTTTTAATGCTTTTAATATTTACTGTGTTGTACTGGCCAACTGTTTGTATGAACAAACAGAGGAAGAAAAAATACCTAGTACTGGAATTTAGCCTGCTGTCTCCCTTTGTCAGAGTATCCTCATGTGACCCATGTTGCCCATGTGCTACTCATCACTGTTTTTAAGGAAGCTACTGGCAAAGGGAGAGGTGTTCTAACAAGAATTGAAGTAATGTTCAACCTGTGATTCTTAAAGTTCTTGAGTTTAACGACCTCTCTTTCAAGCTTATTTAAAAACAGAGCAAGTTTGAAGATCTGCAGAGGAGAGGAGATATACTTTATTAACATAGCATAGGCTTTCCTTCTTTTACAGAGTTTTAGTGTTAATCCAGCTGAGAACAGCAGAAAAATTAAAAGTTAAAGGAAGGTCCCAATTTCTGTAACGTATACTGGAAATCTAACGTGATTAAGGTGAAATTTGAATATGGGTAACAGCAGCGCACTTTTACGCTTTTGCATTATGAAATCAGGGGTGAGGTCAGGAATATCTGTGTGGACAAAAAGGTTACTTTAGCTAGTTATTTACTAAGATTGACTTGCATATTTAGATTTTTAAAAATGTTTATTACAGAGTGTCTGTTCAAATACAGTGTTATCCATGTGGACTATATGGACTAACAGTGAACTGTGACGATTTAATTGTCAAAACTGCAGACACAAAATAATTTGGCACTCTGTTATACTGTTTATAAACTCTGTATGTTCATAGCATAAAATATACGTGCATTTCAGAGTCAGCATTCATATTCAATTACATATGAAAGAGGAAATTCAAAACAATTAAATGCATCAAGAGGGGAACATCTAGGGGTGTTTCTGGCATTCACGTAAGTTGAAATGATGCTTTTTCATCCTTTTTAGAAGGACGAAGTCAGAAAGACAAAAGAAGCTCTCGGGGTCGAGGCAGACGAACATCTGAAGAAGACACACCAAAGAAAAAGAAACTCAAAGGAGGGTAAGAAATGAACAATCACAGCTCTGATGACTTTGTGGAAAATTCATGAAGTGTTGAGCCAGGCTCACGTTACCCTAGATATGACTCTCCTAGTCTTAGTCCACTTCATTAGTATCTTCCTAAAGACAAGTCAGCTTTGTTAATTAAATCCTTACTTAGCACATGGAAACTTAGCATGCTTGGATTGCCCTTCGTCTGGAAGGGCGAGATCAGAATCTCCACGGTGCTGTTTGCAAGCTGGAAGAAAATAGCTTTGCTTTTTGTCATGCAGCTATCTTTAATGGTTGCCTGTGATCTTCATTTTCCAAGTGGGATTTAAATCTTGGAAGCTGTTGTCTGTAACTGAAAAGTGTATTATCCTCAATCTATCCTTGTCTACAGATCTGAGTTTGCTGATACCATCCTGTCAGTGCATCCCTCAGATGTCCTAGACATGCCAGTGGATCCCAATGAACCTACCTACTGCTTGTGTCACCAGGTGTCATATGGAGAAATGATTGGCTGTGACAACCCAGATGTAAGTACTTGAGATGATGTATTTTCAAAATGCACTCTGTATCTTTTGAAAAGATGTTTGCAGCATCACAGAGCTATGAAATCTGAGGGGGATACTTGCCCAATTAGATCATCCAAAATGAGTGTAAAATTTGCAGAACACTAAGCATCTCTTTTGTGTTTTTTTTAATTTGGTTTTTGTTTTTGTTTTCTATTTCACAGTGCCCAATTGAATGGTTCCACTTTGCTTGTGTAGACCTCACCACCAAACCAAAAGGGAAGTGGTAAGTAGGACATACAGCTTTTGTTTTTGTTTTATTTTCCCCCTCGGGTTAAAGTTTCCATTGACAAGAATCACAATAAGAATTAAGACCCCATTATGACCCTTCCTGACAGGATCTTTGCTCTTGTCATCAGAGGGTCTGCCTCCTGTAGGGTATGGGATTGTGTTTATGTGAAGGCAGAGGTACAAGGGGAAATTTCTCCTTCCTAAAGGGTACTTCTGCAGGAATGTTTAGATATGATAGGTTCCAACAGGAGGAAAATAGAGCCAGGCATAGGTAGGATTTCATGATAAATGGAGCAGTTTTTGAGCTGATACTGGTGTAATGTGTATGCATTGCATCTCTTATTTGCTATATGGTCGCATAGTAGCAGCTTTGGTTAATGTTCAGAAGACCCACCCCTCCCAGTGAAGTTCAAAGACTCTTCAAGGCTACGCTTCTGCCTGTGTTCATCTTGGAAACAATCATAGGCTTGTTCTATACTTTCTTTTTTTAAAGGACAGAAGTTCTGTGTAAATGTTGTGCCTTGCACTTAAAATGCCACAGTCGTCTTGCATGTTATGAAAACTCTTGCAATTAATTAATTGGCCACTTTTAATCCCTGCCCCCACCCTGTTCCCAAATACTAAAAAGAGCTGTTGGGCTAGGTGTTTTTAACTGCAGGAGTAATTACTGCCACATTCTTTCTGTAGGTTTTGTCCACGTTGTGTTCAAGAGAGAAAGAAAAAGAAGTAAGGAGTACAGGGAATACATCCTCTGAGGCAAGAAGAGTTTAACGTATTCTTTCCTTCGTGTTGCAATGTTATCTTTGATTTTTCTTTAACCTACCCTCCTTGTTCTGATCTGATATTTAATTGTCCAGTGGCCAGTTGTAATTCCTGTTCTTTCATGAGGACTTTAGGAGGGAGGGAATTTGCCACAGTGATTTTATGTTACACTTGCACGGCACTGAAATCTGTGTTACTATGAAGTGCTAGCTAGGGCAGCCCATAGCTGTGATCTTTGCTAGTTTACGGGAGTCTGTGAAACCACATAAGGCATTGCAGGGGAATGAGAGAGCTTATCTTCTATGTGGTGCATCACTATCATCAAAACAGCGTAGACCTGGAGCTTAGCATGGTAGGGAAGAAGGAGTTTTCTGTAACTGTTGCCTGTATGCAAGAAGTACGCTCTGTTGTTCAGGCATGAAGTCTGTTTGTTGTGCAGTTCAGCAGTATTGAAAGAAACAAGAAAGCTGGTTAACTGTTTCCAATGTCCTTTCTTCAAAGCCAAGAACTGTATTTAGTTTTGACACAGCAAGAGGGGATGTGTGTGTGTGTGCGTGCATATGCACTAGAGAGAATTCTCTTTTGGGAGTCACTTCTGTCTAACTTTGCACTGCCATTATTTGACTTGATCTTACCCAATCACATTAAATGAACAGAAGCAAGCCATTTGAGTTTTTACCTCCTTTCATAAAAGGTTTTTCTCTTCTGTGGGAAAACGTTAAAAACATCAAAGGAATTGTCCTGTAGTGTGTGTTAGTGACAGTAGCAGAGAGAGAGAGAGAGAGAGAGAAAGGGAAGGAGTGACTGACTGATCTGTCCTGACTGTTTGCCATTTCTCTGGAAATCTTTTAGGTCCATTACTGTGAAGATGAAACCAAGAGTATTGTTATAGAGACAGAGGGTCTGATTTGTTCATAAGATGAGATGGAGGCCTGTCTTTTTGTTATTTGTGCATGCCTGTGTTGCACCTCTGTAAATCAGGAAACAAGTTTTAACAGAAGACTATTACAGTTAGATGCATAGATTCTTGTGATGGTGCAGCCAGGCTGAAAGGAGGCAATGTGGTAGTTGGGTGGGTTTTTTTGTTTTTGTTGTTTAATAGCATTTGCTGTGAATCACTGCTATTAAAAAACACTCATCAGGAATGTTTTAAAATGGCTTCTTACCTTTTTTGGCAGAGGCACATTTTCCTGTTCTTTAATTCTTTGAGCTGTTTTTCAGTTTATAAATGTGAATCTTTGCTATCATTAGTGTCATTTGCAGCAGTGAAAGGGAGAGGGAAATCAGAAGTACAAAAATAAGTCTTTTTTATTTTATTTTTTTTGTCTTCTGAGTTGTGGTGGATGCGGGAGCTGAGGGAAGACCAAAGATGACACTCATCTTTATATATCCTGTATTCTGGAGCTTTGCTGCCTACAACAGAAGGAGACGTTGTGGGAGAGGTTGTTTGGCCAGGGGAAAAAAAAGTAGTCTACAGCAGTATAGACCAGGGTTCATGAACTTTGATATCAGGCTGTGACTCGTGGTAGATGTTGATGGCAGCTCTATGGTAGGCTGTGTACTAGTTTGCTTGCCATTGTGCAGGAACCCTTGATATAGACTATTGGAAGGGCGTTAAGAGGTTTCCAGATAAGCTTTTGTTCCGCTTTAAAAACAATTAGCGTAAACAATATAGAAGAAAAACACTTCTAGTCAGACTCTAGAACCTGCTCTCTCTCCCCTTCCTCCCCCCCCCCCCCATTTTGTTTTCTGTTAGTGACCCTCATGTGAAAGAAAGTAGAACACAGCTTTTGCCAGTTGTCCTTCCTTCCTTTTGGTCTCTTGTGCTTTGTAAATGCTGCAGGTATGTCAGGACTATCATAAAACTTTTGCTACTGATACAGGTTTTCTGTGAACATATTCTGATTTATTGTATCTGTTATAGAAGAAATCGTCTCCAGGGTCCTTTCATTTAAAGTGAGATGTTATACATGTCTTTACTGTGTTGCATCACTCTGCATGTTGCATATGAAGTTTCCATAGTTATGTTTACAAGATCACGTTCATTTGTCATTGTTGTCATTGTAAAAGCACACCAAAAACATACAAACAAACTAGAAGCCGATTGCTGTTGGGAAGGGGAGGAAAAAGCACAGTCACACAAACCTGAATTAGAAAATACAGTCAGCCCTCTTTTTCCTTTTCCCTCTTTAAGAAAGTAATCTTGATACCTCATGAACCAGCCTTTAATTCAGTAACCAGTGAGTAAGACCTGTACCTCATTAACCTGTTACACTGGATTAATGTAGGAGTGTCACTGTGTCCTGAAGACTAGTGTTGATGCTTGCTTTTTTTTTTTTTTTTGGAAGGGCTTTAACAGTAGTGATTAAATGTTTGGTTTAAAGCATTTGATTTAAAACAATCTCAAAATTGTATTGCACTTCTTCCGAGGTCTTGCTGGAAATGCACTGTTGTAGAAATGCGCAGCTATGGATGAATAAGTGCAAAGCTGACTGCCCTAAACTGAGAAAAGATGGGTCTGTCAGGACAGCAAAATATATCTTGTTAACAAGTGCTTTTTATGGCTCAGAAGAGCAGATATTTTCTCTTTTAACCAGGAAAGAAAGAAACAACCAAATAACCTATGCCCTGGAAGTTAGCATCAATCCTTAAAAAGAAAGATACTTTTCTGGCTCTCATGTGTGAGGTAAAAACATATTCTTCTTTACAGTGTAACGTCTCAAATGTGTCAGACCAACTGAACTGATCTGGGTGATAACTGTCCTATTCAGAACATATCAGCATGGAGGCTCTACCAATTGTCACAGGCTCAAGAGCATTTGGTGGCTGTTTACATCTGAGTTTAGAGATTTTTGGCTCTGTTTTAAATGGAAATACCAATAGCCTTCATTTTTGGTCACTAAGGAATTGAAATCTTTCTCCTGAATTTTGAATGTACAGTGTTAAATATACTTTTATGGAGAAGGATGAACAAGGCTGTGATATGTGAAGGAATGTTCCACTAAAGATTGTCAAGATACTTATATACTTTGTGGTGTTCAGCTTTATTGCAGTTCATCCAAACTGGACGTAAAAACAACCGTTAACCTGATTGTTTTATTTTTTAAAGGAGTTAGATCTATATTCCCTTTGTAAATGGAAGAGAATATAACTCTTTTTATTAAAAAAAAAAAAAGTAAAGTAAAAAATGTATATCTGTATTTTTGGATCACGTTATAGATAATGGATATATTGTTATAAATAAAATATTTTTGGGAACAAAAGCGTAGGTGGTCGTGTTGTTCGGGGGCTGCAGCCTCCCGGGAGCAGCGGCGGCCTCCTGCCG